TTGAAATACTGTCTTACATCCAGATTTTAATAAGTTTATGTAACAATCTGGTTGTCCACTATTTGTTTAAACATATGTGGAAAGTATCTGACTTTATTTTTGTTAGATAATTAAATAATTATTTTGGGACAAGGTATTAAATAAGACTCTTCCCATACTTATTTGAAATGTATTCCTATGCATGTATATTAGACCAAAATTCATTCTACTATCATGTATAACTAAAAAGAACAAATAAAAAAATAAAAAATAAACAAAGAAATGTGTTTCTTATAAACTAAATAACTTTGTGTATTTAAATCAATAATCTCTGAGTCTTTCAAATCTTAATTATCATAATTTTATAATGTAGACTAACACATGGGATGCAAGTTCTTTTTTCTTTTTCAAAAATCTTTATTATCCCTATTTTTTGTGTAAATGAAGTTTAGAATCATTTTTGTAAAGTTTATACATGCATTATTCCTAATATATTAAATTTATAGATTTAATTTGGGGCCCTTTCTTTATATCCTGACCAAAATTTAATGTCTATGTTTGTTTTTTTGTTTGTTTGTTTGTTTTTGGTACCAGGGGGATTGAACTTAGGGGCACTAGACCATTGAGCCATATCCCCACCCCTATTTTATATTTTATTTTCATACAGGGTCTCACTGAGTTGCTTAGTGCCTAGCTGTTGCTGAGGCTGGCTTTGAACTCTATCCTTCCACCTCAGCCGCCAAAGCTACTGGGATTACAGGTGTGCATTACTGCACCCAGCCTATGTCTAAGTTTTTTTTTTTTTAAACTGTGAAACCAAAGGTTGGAAACACAAACACCTGATAAACATATTAAAATGTAATCAAGCTTATTAGCAATTAGAGAAATGCCAATTTAAACCACAATGAGATATAATTTTATACTCACTAGATTTGCAAAAACCAAAGTGTCAGTAACATCAAGTGTGAATAAGAAGATGAACAGAGGAGCTCTGATTCACTGCTGGCCATAGTGTGAACTGGCAAAACCACACTGGTGAAAAGTTTGTATCATTTAGTACATGTGAGGATGCACATCCCCATCCAGAACAGTCCCCCTTACTGGGATGGACCTAAAGATTCTTATAGGTGTCTAACATGTACAGGAATGTTTTTAAAAGTATTGTTCACAGTATTCCTAAGGTGAAAATAGCTGTCAATAATAGGAGTCGTAGGTAAGTTATGGGATACTCATATAGCCTTAAACGTGAATAAACAGTAAGTGCATGCAGCAGTTTGCACAAATCTTAAATATTATTAAGAAAGAAAAACAAGAAACCAAAAAGTATAAGGAATGGGATTTAAGAAGACAGGCAATAGAGTAAAAAAAAATGTGCACTTTAACAATGTTTTCTTTATTGTAAAGCACTGAAATAAATCAAAGGCTAGGCAGCTAGGAATTTCCTTAGTCAGTTCACCCATAGGCAAAATTAAACCATTGTTTAGAAATGCATACATTGAGAGCAAATCTATATGAAAAAATAAAGAAAATCCTTAACTTAAAGTTCAGAACAGTGAGATCTCAGGAAGTGGAGGGTCAAGACATAGAAAATTGGGGTGAAATTCTACTTCCTGACTTGTGTGACAGTTGCATAGACGTTTGCTTATAGCTAATCATTATATCCTCCTTTGATGTTTTAATTACTTTTCTGGATGTCTGAATAGAACTACTTAAAAATAACACCATGCAAAATATATAGTGGCTCTTTTGAAGGAAATGTAGTACCTCTCCCAGGCAATCTGCTCTTTTTCAGGAGTAGGGTTCTTTTTGAAGAAGGGCTCCTCAGTATTTTTCTGCCCTGAATTTTCTGCTATTTGAGAACTCAAAGGATTACTCTATGCTTTAAAAAATATATTTTTAGCTGTAGATGGACAGAATACCTTTATTTATTTATTTAATATGGTGCTGAGGATCAAACCCGGTGCCTCACACGTGCAAGGCAGCGCTCCACCACTGAGTTAAAGCCCCAGCCCAACTCTATGCTTTTATATGTTTCCATGATTTCTGTTCTTAATGTCCTACCAAAATCACTCAATGCCTCTCACATCATGAATATTTGTCCAGTGAATGCATGTGCATCCAAATATCTTTCTGTCTGAAAACAGAGGAGGCAGAAGAGAAAGGAATCATCACTCTGTGAAGTTGGGAAAGAAAAAAGAACATACACATAAAATCCAAGGATGATCTAATTCGACAGAAGACATCACTTTTACAGAGTAATGCTTATTTTGTTTGGCATTTTCTTAGCACAATGGATCTGGTTTTTCTTCAAAATTGTCTGCAGCTTCTCTAAGTGAGATGTCTGTCACCTGTCACCTGGGGGACTATCTGAGATGACCTGCTGTGAGATTGAAGGGGGAAAGCAGAAATGTAGTCCACTCCATCCTGTCTGTGGGAATGTTACGAGGTCAAGGCCATCATCTCCCCAGCTGCTCTGGGAGCTGCTACTTGCAGAAAAGATGCAGTGAAGCATGAAAAGTGAATTCACAGGGTATGAGGCTCACTTAGTCCTGCTGGATCAAGCTCGTAGTCAGGGTCATGCCTGGGCACTGGGATGTTAACTTCAACCTTTCTAATTGGCTGCTGTCCATAGAATTTGAGTGTACCAGGCAGGCAAGTCAGTGTATGCAAGTCCCATGTCATATCAGTTTCCTTTGCCCAGAGTCAGCACCTTTCTACAGGCAGCCTAGGACCAACCCTGTGTACCTTTAGCCTAGGGTAAATTCCTCTTTTAGCATGGTTGTTTGCATCTAACCAAGAGTACCAGATATATTTGAACATTTTGTACATGCCAGGCACTATGCTGAGACTTTGACATGCATTATCTTGTTTAATTTCTAACTCTGTAAAGATTGTCTTATTATTTTGATTTTGCTGATGAGGATGCTATGCTCTGCCAACTGACTTGCTCAAGGGCACAATAAATGGTGGAGGCAGAATCAGAACCTAGGAAGCATGGCTCCAGAGCTAACGATCACAACTTGTGGCTTAAGTAGTTGATTTATCCATTCACTCACATAACAAATTTCTGTTTATGGACTGTGATTGACAGGTTCTGTATTAGATACTAGGAATGTCATTTTGAGCAAATAGATAACATACCTATCCTTGCTTTGTGTTTAATTCTCTCTGTTTCACTCCTTAGGGTTTAGGAATATTCATGAAAAGGTATATAGAAGGTTTGCAGTGTGGCAAAATGCTTAGAGCATGTGTAAACAAGGAGTCATCTCCAGGGGAAAAATTGTGTGTGGCCCTACCTTTCTTGATGGTCAATTCAGAGAACCCTGGTTACAAGGTGTGAATGACCCACAGTTGTTTTAAAACCTTATATTTCCTAGAACGCCTACTCCCTCTTTCTCCTTTCCTTACCCCCAGTAAGAGTCTTCAAATGCTCCCAGATGGCTCCAGGATAGACAGCCAATCCAATGTACTTTGACTCAAATACTGAGCATTGTTTGCAACCATAATATGAATTTAGATCCTTTATTGCAAGCCTTCCAAATGAAGACAACATCTTCTCAGCCTTCTTTATTTCAGAGTTAATCACATATTTGAGACCCTGTAGGACCCAATTTGAAATAGGTGCATGATCTAACTAAGAGAAGAGTTTGTCTATTAAGGCCTGTACATGCCTGTGTGCATTGATTGATGAAGAAGGCTACTGAAAGAGCTAAGAAAATTAGAAATTTTTGACTGCTGTGAGCAATCTAGCAATGGATAATAATCATCCATAAAAGTGTTCATACCTTTTATGCTGGCAATTCTCCTCTGGAGGAACATGTTGGGAAAATAGGCTTATTAATGTCTTAGAGCATAAACCTTGCCTAACTTTTCTTTGTTTTTCAGCACCTGAGATGTTCAACTCCAAAAAAGAAGCAGGCTATTCCTTTGCTGTAGACTGGTGGTCCCTGGGTGTGACGGCATATGAGCTATTGAGAGGCCGGGTACAGTAGAATTGCATGTCCTTTTTGGTTATTCTTCCAGTATGTTCTATTTCAGTAAAAGAATGTATTGTTTGCTCTGAACCAAGCAGTTCCTTTGAGAGCTGAAAACAGCCATGTGATGCTGATAACACCTCTTGAGATTTCTGCACATATTAATTTACTGCCCCACATATGGGACCAACCATGTCAGTTAACATTAAATTTTACCAATAAAATTAAATGAATAATATGGATATTATAAGCTCCCAAGAGGGAAAAATCAATTTACCTCACTAGATATTTTGAGTAAATATGTGTGTTTGTTTAAAGAAAGTCATTAGTAGTTACAGTACAGAGCTCTAATTCAGATACACCTCGCCAAGGCAAGTGTGAATTATTAATACAGCACAACTCATGCCCTGTCTTGTTGGAATGCTGTCTGTCATTTGGTTCCAGGATTCTGGATTCAGTGGAAAATTAGTTTTTATTTCCTTTTTTTTTTTAAAGAAATAGTTCTTAAACCAAGATATTTTTTTCTAGGAAGAAAAGATTAATATCAAACAAATGCTATGAAAATTTGTTCTATTTGGTTTTGATAAACTATTGCATAATTCAGATATCCTTTTGAGTGTGCTAGTTCAGACATAACAAAATACTATAGACCATGTGGCTTACACAATAGGTATTTATTTTCTTACAGTTATACAGGCTGGAACTCCAAGATCAAAGTGCCAGAAATGTTGGGTTCTGGAGAGGTCTATCTTTATGTCATGAGACGGTGACTTTTTTTAATTGTGTCTTCATGAATGGGAGAGGGAGGAGAGAGAGAAAAAAGTGGAAGAGAGAGATATCTTTCTCTTCTTTTAAGGTCACAAATTCCATCATGAAGGTTCTGTTCCCATAACCTAATCTATCCCTAATTACCTGCCAAAGATCTGTCTCTATTAAAGTTAGAGCTTCAGTAAAGGAATTCGGGTCAGGACACATTCAGTTCATGAAATTTCACTCTCAGCCCCTTCTCACATGTCCTTCTCACATGCAAAATTTCTTCATCCGGTCCCAAACTAAAACCTAAAGTTCAAAATCTCATCCAGATATTATCTAAATCAAGTATGGAAGAGACTCAAGGGATGATTCATCTTGAGGCAAAATTCTTTTCCCTCTGTGCATTTATAAAAATACAAATTTTGTACTCCTGAAGTATGATGGTGGCACAGACATATGATCAACAGTCTGTTCTAAAAGGGAAAAGTGGGAAACAAGCAAGGAATAGTAGGTCAAAGTCCATTAAATCCTAAGTCTCAAGAATAATCCTCTTTGATTATAATAAGTGATGAATCCTGTCATTTGAAGCCACTTGGATGGAACTAGATCTTATATTACATGAGATAAGCCAGGCACAGAAAGACAAATAGAACATCTTCTCACCCATTTGTGCAAGCTGAAAATTGATTACAGTAGGGAGAAGTAGCAAGCAGAGTACAGATACCAGGAGCTTCCAAAGGGTGGGAGAGGTGAATAGCGGGTCAAGAAAGAGTATCAAAATACCTTGGGGGAAGTAGTGTAGGTGTATACATAGCACAGTAGGGTAACTATGACCTACAACAATTAATTACACATTTCAAAATGACTAGAGAAGAGTTTGAAGCTTACCAACACATAGAAAGGATAACATTTAAGGAAATAGAAATTCTAATTACCCCGATTTAATCCTCAAACATTGTATACATCACACCCTATAAATAAGCGCAAATATTATAAGTCAATTAGGTATAGAATAAAAGCACAATCCTCTTTGGCTTGGTTATCTTCCCTCCAGGCCTCCTGGGCTGGCAGCATCTTTCTCATGGCTGAAGGTAAGGGACTGGAGACTTACTTAGTGACCCTTCAGGGGCTCTGTCCATAGGTATCTGCCATCCCACTTATAGGACTCTGCCAGGTGGTGGTCCTGCCCTTTGGAACTGAGGTAACCCTGACCCCAAGCCAATGCACTCAGGGCCTGTGGTCAGAGTGGCAGCCCTAATGGTCTCTGAATCACCCTTGGGGTCTTCTTTCCTTACCAGAAGGATAGTGCCTATTCACAACCAGACAGCTCTATGGTCCTGCCTTGTGAAATCTAAGAAGTCTGTTAGTCTTCCTTCACTCCATCCCACTTTCTCTCTGGCCTTTAACTCGAACCATGAGTATCTCTGTGGTATAATCCCATCTCTATCTCTGTTTTTTTTTTTTTTTTTTTGAGATATCTTATGATATTGCTGAGCCACACATGTCATCTCTTCCTCATTTGGTTGTTCAACTGTCTCCTTAGTGTTCTTTTCAGAACAAGCTGTCTTGTTTCTTGCAATATATATAGGCCAAAAGTTTTGCAGCTCTTCAATTTCTGGTTCTTTTTCTGTTGTTGTTGTTGTATACAATTTCTTCTTTGATTCATCCCCTTTCTTTTATATTTTATTGTAAGTATTCAGGGGAAACCAAGCCACTCCTTCAACATGTTGTCTAAAAATCTTCTTGGTCAATACCCCATTTTAATGCTACAAGTTCTACCTCCCATGAAAAACTGGAATATGGTTCAGAATGTTCTTGGGCCCTTTATAATAAGGATCACTTTCCTTCCGTTTCTGATAATATGTTCCACATTTCTGTCTAAGACATGATGAGAACTATTCCTAAAATCCATATTTATGGCTTAAACCTCAAACCTCTTCCAGCGTCTACCCAATAATTAGCCTCAGAGTTACTTGGAAATGTTTGAGTAGTTTTGGCAGTATTCCACTACCCAATACCTATATCTATTAGGTCAGCCAGGGCTGTCTTAAAAAAAAATACATCTCCTGTGGAGCATAAACAACAGAAATTTGTTATCTTAATAATGGAGGCTGAAACTCTAAGTTCAAGGTGTCAGAATGGTTAGCTTTGGATGAGTGATCCCTTCCTAGCCTGCAGATGACTGCCTCTCACTGTGTCCCCAAGTGATGGGGATAGAAACCTCTCTCTCTCTCTCTCTCCCGTTTTTCTTCTTGTAAGACTACTAAGGACCATAAGGGCTCCACCCCCATGACCTAGTCTAACCCTAATTATGCACCAAAGGCTCCTGTTCCAAATACCATCATATTGAGGGTTGGGGCTTTAACGTACAAGTGGAGGGCAGGACACAAGCATTCAATCCATAAGTAGCTGTGTACTGTCAGGATCTTGGTAATGGATGCAACTGGGATTCCTCCAAGATCCAGGAGTTGAAGACTGTTGCCTCCCTAACTTTCAGAACTCACTCATCTCCACAGGATCAGAACTGGGTATCAAGTTGTCATACAAACACTGCAGCTAGTCTAACCTCTGGAGCTGATCTTTCTGCTTTAGTCAGCAGCCATTGTCCTGGCCTTATGTCATTGCACCATAATTTCTACACTAAGAGTTCCATTTCACAACTGATTGGCCTGTTCCCACCTTATATTAACTGTTAGAAGAATAACTGTTAGAAGTTGGGGCTTCAATTTGCTCAGGGAAGCAAAGACAAACGCTTGCTTTTGTAGCAACCAAAAGCAAGGACTTCACAGTTGGATTGGATTCATTCACTCCATGTGGTTCATTTCACACTTCAACATTGATTTGTTCACTGTTCTCACTCCTCTGTTCCTGGAGATCACATAACACTATTGGTTAAGCAGATTCCAATCTTGGTGAGTTGTTCATGTTAATGGAGGTGGACCACTTCTATAAGCCAGACATGTGGGTCCTCCATGAGTGGCCTCACATATGGCCTGTTTTTATCCTTCCTCTGTTTTCTTAAAACTAGCTAATGAATATGTAGATATAAAGTTATTATACAAACAAACAGGGAAGAGATGCATATCATTTAGATTGTAGAAAATCTCTGTTCTTTCCCACCTCACCTTCAAGTTCTTCTCCCCTGAGGACTTCCCCTGGCTCCTTATCTAGCACCCTCTCTGGTTCAGGGCAGTTGTGTTCTGCCCTCAGCTGCTGTAACACACAGCAAAACAAAATCTGAGCAATGAATTAAAAAATGGAAGCATTCTTTAAATAGGACTGGGATTGTATTTAATTATCACTTATTCATAAGAGGTCTTCTTGCCTGGCTGCAAAGAATTTTGCTAAGAAAATAGTTACCCCCTCTCATATTATTTTATCTCTAAGTTAGTTCCCTGGGATCTAACAACACTGACAAATTTACTTTTCTAAAACACAGATATGACCTTTCCTTCAAGACAAAAATGTTTTGCTCCCCAGTTCTTTACGAATGCACACACCCACACACATACACACAAACACACCTTCATATGCCGTAAATTGGCATTCTTGGTCTTTAGAACTAGGTTGACTTTTCAGATTTTGCTTCCATTCAAATAATCTTGACCCCTCAGGAACTCACAGAAGCCTCTGTATTTCCTCCTGTTCTTGAAGTATGCCTCGGGCTTTTTCACTTCTTCTTTCTTTGCCTATAAAGATATTTCTAAGACAAGCCCTCATCTTCTTAAAAAGTCACTCTTTATACATTTGGGAAATGCTAAATTGAATTTGAATAAAGTTAAAGATTTACATACAATGTGTACTCTTATTTCTATGAAAGGATGTGCTATTGAGCTACCTCAATTTGATGTGGGAATGGCCTTCTCCAGATCTCCTTGTCTTAAAATCCTGCCCATACTTTATTGCCTATGACAAGTGGCACTTCCTCCAAAGGACCTTTCTGTGAGTTCTCCAACTAAACTGACCTGACTCTCTGTCAAATGTTTAGGTATTTTCTGTTATGACCTTCTGAATTTAAGCTTCTTGGAAAAATATAGAAAACCACAAAAGTGAAGTAAAAAACTAGTATCATCCTAAAGGCAAAGAAAATTTACAGTTAAGAAATCAATCCCCCTGTGATCTTCAGACCCACCTTCAAGAATTAACAGTTTGTTATATTTACTCTCAAAT